AACAGTGACCTTGAGTTTTGACCACTTTAATTGATATACATTTCTTCCATCTGTATAAATTTCATTCTTAATCAGACAAGATAAACTCAGCTTACGATACAGAATCATAAAAGGTTGGGATGAAGGTATATTTGTTTGTTTCTATTTTGAGCTTATATTTGGTCATTCTGTTTAGAAGCCTACAAAAACTTTTGAGAGAACAGTGGTGAGAAAATACTCATGCAGAAAATCATTTTTAAACTTGTATATAAGATTTTTAAAAAAATCATAAAGTCTGTGAAAAAAAAAGAAACTCCAGTAAAGCTCAAGGTGAAATAAAAGTTTGGTGTGATAAGCATGTAAGAGATAGAAGTTTTCAACCAGATGAAATTGACTAATATCTTGTAATGCACTAGCTAGGTTCTATTGGCCACATCCATTGACAAAAAGGTCAGTGATGTGGATTATGTTGTTAATTCTCCTGGGAGCCTCAAAGAAAAATATTATGTAAAAAAAAACATCATTACATGGCAATAACTCCTTAAAGAGTCATCCAATGGTTTGGGCTAGACATTTGGCAATAACTCCTTAAAGAGTATACAATGGTTTGGGCTAGACATTTTTGTAGATCTTGTATTGCTGATCATTTTTTGCTGCTGTTAATAGTTTCTACCTATTATAGATTTTTAGAAAGTAGTTTAAAATCTTTATTAAATTATAAAACAATAGTTACACCAAATAAATTCTTCCTATTATTCTCATTTTGCTTTCTTTGAAATGAAAAGCAATCATATATTAATACACTTTTGATACACTATACTTCAAACAGTATCTACCAATCAATTATTACTTGAAAAATGCAGCTTCAGTTCAATTTTGAGCCAACTCTGACTTACAATATGCTGTTTCTTTTACCATAGGTTTATCAAATTTGGAACCAACAGTTAAAAGTTTAGCTTCAATTTAAATTTAAGACACCATCTACAGATTCTTGATGCCAAGTTTGGTTCTAATGGGCCTAGCAGTTTCAGAAGCAAAATATTAAAGTCTATTTGCCACTGCTGGTGGAGGTTTCTTCCCGGAGGGTATCACTAGCCAAGTAGTCAGCAGTTCAATGTTGACATGAATTATCATTGTTATGATCATAAAAATATATTAACTGTTTATACAACTTAGTATTTTTTCGAAATACTTAGGATTTTCTACCCCAGGGAAAAGATTACCTAAGCTGTATGTGGCAAAGCCTTTCAGACTTTTGAGTCCTCAATGCTCTTCATCTTTGTATTTTATTTGGCTTTTTTAACTTTTTTTATTCAAGCGTCAATGATGAGTCTTTTGTAGATGAAAGGCACTCTGGTGTATAAAATTTTTAGCCTGGTATATTTGATGAGTTTTGTGCATAATTCATAACTATGCCTTTTCAGAATAACCTGGAACAGATGTTATACAACTTTTTATCATGTTCTTAATGGTTATAATTTCAAGGCAGCAATTTTGGATTTCCAATCAGCACCAAAATTACAAATTTGGTAGAGGACCATCTAAGGTACATTCATGCAAAGTCGAAATTCATTTGGTTGTGTCACACAGATTTTTTAAAAATTTACATTTTGACGAAATCAGATTCATATCCTATTTTCTTTGGATTGGTTATTGCATAATTCAAATAGGGAAGGCAAAATTTGTAAATAAATTTTGACCTCTTAAAAGGTTAATGGCAAATTCCTTTAACAGATAGGTGCCTGCTTTTGTTTCTCACAATTGTTTGTGTGGGTTGTACCAAAATAAAGCCAAATGTGGATGAAAAACTCTTCTGACACATTTCATAGACTTGTATAAAAAATATCAAAAGTTTAAATAGTTGTTCAGGCTTCACTGATGATATCATTAATTTTATTGATACTTGGAAACATCATTTACCACAAATACCTATTTTTTTTCAATATTGTCAGAAGTAAAATTAAAAGTTGATCAAGTTAAATATGAACTTTGTCAAGCAACTTTAAACAATTTAGGCTATATCATTGGTGATTGTCACATTAAACCAATTATTTTAAACATAAAAGCGACTGCTGATTTCATTTTTCAATGAAACAATAAACTGGTTATTACTGAAAATTTTTGCACAAATTATTTTTACATTTTCGTCTAATCTTGGACTTAATACTCGGTAAAAAATATAACTAGAGGCTCTCAAGAGCCTGTGTCGCTCACCTGTTTCTACTTTGGTTTTGGAAATCATGTAAAAATAGATTAAAATCATAACAGATACCCTAATAATGAGTGAGGCCAAATTTGGTTTAATATTGGTCCTGTAATTTAATAAAAAATCCTGGTGGCCATCTTGAACAGTAAATCGGCAACAAAGTAGCAACACTTAATCAGCACCTCATAAGAAACATTTATGCCATGTTTTGGTTTCATTCCATTCAGTGCACCTCTAGAAGAAGCATTTGTATGTATTTCCCATAGGATCTTATGTTAAAGGAAGTCCCCCCATTGGCGGCCATCATGGATGAAGGATCAGCTTCAAAGTAACAAAACTTAGTCAACACCTCATAAGGAACATTCATGCCATGTTTGGTTTCAATCAATTCAGTATGTGGTTCTCTAAAAGAAGACATTTGTATGTATTGTCCATAGGGTCCTTTGTTAAACATTGTCCCCATCTGGCAGCCATCATGGATTATGGATCGGTTTCAAAGTAACAACACTTGGTCAGCACCTCAAAAGGAACATGCATGCCATGTTTGGTTTCATTCCATTCAATGGTTCTCTAAAAGAAAACATTTGTACGTATTTCTCATAGGGTCCTATGTTAAACTAAGTCCTCCGCTGGCAGCCATCTTAGATTATGGATCAGCTTCTTAGTAACAACACTTGGTCAGCACCTCAAAAGGAACATTCATGCCATGTTTGGTTTCATTGCATTCAGTGGTTCTCTAAAAGAAGACATTTGTATGTATTTCCCATAGGGTCCTATTTTAAACTAAGTCCCCCGCTGGCTGCCATCTTGGATGATGGATCAGCTTCAAAGTAACAACACTTGGTCAGCACCTCATAAGGAACATTCTTGCCATGTTTGGTTTCATTCCATTCAGTGGTTCTCTAAAAGAAGACGTTTGTATGTATTTCCCATAGGGTCCCATGTTAAACTAAGTACCCTGCTGGCGGCCATCTTGGATTATGGATCGGCTTCAAAGTAACAACTTTCGGTCAGCACCTCATAAGGAACATTCATGCCATGTTTGGTTTCATTCCATTCAGTGGTTCTCTAAAAGAAGACATTTGTATGTATTTCTCATAGGGTCCCATGTTAAACTAAGTCCCCTGCAGGCGGCCATCTTGGATTATGGATCGGCTTCAAAGTAACAACACTCGGTCAGCACCTCATAAGAAACATTCATGCCATGTTTGGTTTCATTCATTTCAGTGGTTCTCTAAAAGAAGACATTTGTATGTATTTCCCATAGGGTCCAATGTTAAACTAAGTCCCCTGCTGGCGGCCATCTTGGATTATGGATCAGCTTCATAGTAACAACACTTGGTCAGCACCTCATAAGGAACATTCATGCCATGTTTGGTTTAATTCCATTCAGTGGTTCTCTAAAAGAAGACATTTGTATGTATTTCCCATAGGGTCCCATGTTAAACTAAGTCCCCCGCTGGCGGCCATCTTGGATTATGGATTGGCTTCAAAGTAACAACACTTGGTCAGCACCTCATAAGGAACATTCATACTATGTTTGGTTCCATTCCATTCAGTGGTTCTCTAAAAGAAGACATTTGTATGTATTTCCCATAGGGTCCTATGTTAAACTAAGTCCCCTGCTGGCGGCCATCTTGGATTATGGATGGGCTTCAAAGTAACAACACTCGGTCAGCACCTCATAAGAAACATTCATGCCATGTTTGGTTTCATTCCATTCAGAGGTTCTCTAAAAGAAGACATTTGTATGTATTTCCCATAGGGTCCTATGTTAAACTAAGTCCCCCCGCTGGCGGCCATCTTGGATTATGGATTGGCTACAAAGTAACAACACTTGGTCAGCACCTCATAAGGAACATTCATGCCATGTTTGGTTTTATTCCATTCAGTGGTTCTCTAGAAGAAGTTCAAAATGTAAAAAGTTAACGCCGACGCCGGACGACGCCAGAGGACAGACGCCAAGTGATGAGAAAAGGCAAAATTTGTAAATAAATTTTGACCTCTTAAAAGGTTAATGGCAAATTCCTTTAACAGATAGGTGCCTGCTTTTGTTTCTCCCAATTGTTTGTGTGGGTTGTACCAAAATAAAGCCAAATGTGGATGAAAAACTCTTCTGACACATTTCATAGACTTGTATAAAAAATATCAAAAGTTTAAATGGTTGTTCAGGCTTCACTGATGATATCATTAATTTTATTGATACTTGGAAACATCATTTACCACAAATACCTATTTTTTTCAATATTGTCAGAAGTAAAATTCGGGCCAGGTGAGCTAAAAATTAGAAAATTTAGGCCATTTTAATGTCTGCATGCGATAGTTGCACATGACTTTAATAAACAACTTAAATTTCAAATTTATGCAAGTGATCTTACCATTTGTTCAGTAACCTTACAGAATGATGAATATGATATTGAACATCCTTTTTGCTATTTTCTAAGAAATTTGAAAACAATCAGAGAAATTACTCCATTGTTGAAGAATGTTTTTCATTATTACTGTCTTTGCAATATTTTGATGTTTATTTAAGTGAAACATATCTTCCTGTAGTAGTATAATCACAATCCTCTCACATTCTCACATAAAATTAAGAAAAAAATATTAGGTTGTTATGTTGGAGTTGATATAAGACATATTCCAGGCAATGATAATTCAGAACATAATTGAAGTACAGACTCGTTATAAGAGTTTGTCAACAGAGAACTGCGATTAACCCTGGCACTTCTTTTTCATCATCAAGATACATTTTGGAGTTGATATCCATGGACTTGTGGCAAAAAACAGACCTTGGCTCTATGTACAATAAAAAAAATAAGCATTAAAAGTCATTTTATTGTACTTAATTTTATGACAAGCACTTTATATGTTCTGGAACTTTTGATGCAATATACTCATTTAATTTGCTGTAAGTCTCAAGCAATGATATGTTTAACTTGCTTTAAATATGACCAGAATCTTTGTATTTTACTTGAACTTAATATGGCACATGTATTTTAATTGACCTTACTTACCCTGAACACAATTATAAAATGTCTGCTATAGTAAATTTTTATATTCTCAAGTTAATTAAACACATTATCTATTGTGCAGTAAAACTTAAATGATTTCATAATTAATGCTTTAAAAGCATCATGATGCATTGAACTGTTTACTGATTTGTTGCCAAGCCTTTCAAATCTTTTTTTATAATAATACCAAATTTTCTTTTTACCCCCTTATCCAAACAAACAAGTTGTGATAGCAACATGAAAAAAACATTCTTCAAAGCTAAAATAAAACGATCGAAGGTATTTGGTTAAATACCCATACAACACCATGTTTACAATAAACAATGAATATTATTAACATTTGATTATTGCTTTTCCAATATTTGTTCCTTTAAAAAGTCCCTGGAATGCTGTATACATATGCTCTATACCCTCTGTTACTGTCTCTCTGTACTTCATTTGACCCTGAAAAGTATCACATAGTATAAATATTTTCATTGCTATTGAAACAAAAAAAAAACAGAATAAAGTATGCATACTTAAGGAAGTTTGCTACTCAGTTTCAAAATAACAAGCTTTTCATTACACTAGTATATATTGAAAGGGGATTAACAAAGGAACCAAAAGAGCGAAAAAAAAAATATAGGTCCGTGTGCTTGTTTTTGAGATATTAGCCATTGAAATTTTGGCAGGAAAATGTTCTCTCTTGACTTTTCATAGCTTTATCATTGACAAGTTTAAGTTCTCAAAAACTATTAAAAAGTAACAAAGATTTTATAAGACTTTTACAGATGGCTTATAATTATACATGTAAAAGATTTATAAAAAGAAAAATAGGGGTTAGTGGGCAAAATTTTTTAAGGCATTCAAATGGATAAAACCAGAGGATTCCGAAAATCTGACAAATATTCCAAAACATGACAAGCGAACATCCTTAAAGGACAGAAATTGTTCAATAAAAACAATGCCTGGTGCATGGGTGCTTGAAAAATCTACCAACTTTCCACAGAATGCCAAAATTTCTTAAAAATCATATTTCATATTTACTGTAAAATCAGAAATTATTGCGTGCATTTATTATTGTGATTTTTGAAAAAATGGACAATAATGTGAGATTAATTATTGCGATTTCAGGAAAATCTGCAAACAGATATATGTATTTAATATCAGAAATCGAGTTTTTATTGTTGCTATACTCACCCAGTAGCATTATTCAGCATTAATAAAAACCTCACAAATTTGATTAAATAAGTTACCTAAGATATAATATTTTTAAAGGGAACATGTTCAAACAATTGTGGAAATATAATCACACATACTTTAGTTATGTTATGAATCAGAAACATGTTGTTTGTCAGAAAAACTACAAATTCATTCACTATAATGGCATTCAATTATCCACAATCAGTATAAAATCTAATTAACATTAAATGAAAATTACACAGATAATTATTTTTTTGCGTCAGAAGTGCTTTTCTGAAATTATCTTAAAACATTCGAAAGTCAGGGATTATCTAACAATCCTCTGTGAAATTTATCTTTGTTTTGTTATGAATCAGACTTGATGGTCAAACTTATAGTACTTATGCATCATTTCCATAGCACATAATGATATTTGAATGATATTCTTTAATACTTTTAAAAACTCAAGATTTGAATTATCCCCAGTTTTAGTGGGGTGTGAGTTGCTTCATATTTAGTTTCTGTGTAATGTTCTTTGTACTTAGTTCATTAATTTGTTTCAACAATTTTCTTCATATAAAGTATGCCTTACTACAAATGTATCTTTCTACACATGTACTCGTATCTGGTTTGGTTACAGAAATGTTAAGAAATGTCACAATCTGGTAAAGTTTGCTATGCGGTATGGATTTTGCTCATTGTTGAAGGCCTTACGGTGACCTTTAATTGCTTACTTCTACATCATTCAGCCTCTGGTGGAGAGTTGTCTCAATGGCAATCATACCACATCTACTTATTTTATACATGTCTTACAATGGCAATGTAAGACTCTATCCAAATAAATCTTAAAGGTTCATGTGGACCCTTCGTCTAAAATGGCTGCATTTTTACTTCAAAATTTACTCTTGAGTACAGACAAACCTGTGCATCTGAAAAAGTTTTTAGGGCATATCATGCCCTAGATAGATAAAATTCAAATATATTTTATGTTTTAGAAAATTAAAAACTTAATGGGATTTTGCAGTGCACTTTTTTTCATTCCTCCAGAAGGTGCCAAAATAAACTAAGTTGGGAAAGAGGTTTGAGAACTTCCCCACAGGTAATAATTGAAGTGAACTGTATTGATTGACATGGACAATAGATGGACAATAGATACCTGACAATAATTGGTGATTTAAACTGTGTAAATGAGTGGACCATATCAAGTGAAACTCGACTGTTTGTTTATTTTATCATCTTCTGCAGGGACGAAAAAAAGTGCACTGCAAAATCCAGTCAAGTTTTAAATTTTCTAAAACATACAATGCATTAAAAGTTTATTTATCTAGGGCATGCTATGCCTTAAAATTTTTCCAGATGCGCAGGTTTGTCTGTACTTAGAGTAAATTTTGTGCTGAAAATGCAGCCATTTTAGCCAAAGGGTCCACATGAACCTTAAGAGTTATGAAGATAATTGTATTGTTAACATAGGCCCGTAAAAATTAAAATATATTTTGGTATCTGCTTAAGTTTTCAGAGTGTTTTGGTCCTGCCATTGTGCTCATTAAATTTGTTTAAAAAATGTGAATACTGGTACTGTATTTTCAGAAATTATTGCATGCATTTATTACTGCGATTTTTTAAGAATGGACACAAATGCGAGATTTATTACAAAATGTATTGCGATTTCAGGAAAATCTTCATACAGATATATGTATCAGATAAGAGAATGCAGGTTCTTATTATTGCAATACCCATCCAGCAGTCGCATTATTCACATTAATATAAACCTCGTGATAATTTCTAAATTTACAGCATTTAAATATTAAATATGTAGATCGATTATAATTCTATCTTCTTTAGTCAAAGCTTTCCAAAGATATCTGTCTATATTGCTACAGTCTTTTTTATTATTGTTAAGTTTGTGTATTCTGTGGCTGTTAAAATAACAAAAATAGGGCTGCATCGGATAGAAAACGACCTTGTGCATGTAAATGTATAAGACTTTGATTGATTTTGGAACATTCAAATACGAAATAAAAGATGAATTTTGGTCTGTTTTGTAAGGTTCTTATATCAACTCAATTTTCAAACAGCTCGAACTTTGCATACAGATTTTTTCCACACAAAATATGTTAACAGATGTATTGATATCCATTTGCCTACGGTTGATTTCTTTCTGATGCAGCTCAATTGATGTTTCGCCCTTTGATGTTACACCATACCTATTAATTCCAAACATTAAATGACAATTATTACTATTGGTAGAGGAAAGCAGATTATCAAGTTTAAACCACAACTTAGATGAGTTACTGACAAACTATGTAACATACCTGGAAATGTTTTATTACCTTACTAGAGTTATTATTATGATTTAAGATATGAAAGCTTTGAAAATTGACATGAATAATAATTTTTTGTAGAAAAATAAGCTCCACAAGAAAAGTGACTACCTGTTTAATCCATTCTACCATTTGTTTTTCTCCTTCAGGATATCTGTCCAACCATTTACTTGAAATAATAAAACCTTGCACAGTCAGCTGTTTGAAGAGGATAGTTGGAAATGGTAAAATTCCTACAAAATGTTGAATATAGAAAAAAAATATGAATGTACTAATATCAAAGTAATTCTAAGAAAATAACCCATTTGAACAACAAAATGGTAACTAAATTGTGAAAAATACAATCATGTTTCTGAGTGGACTCATTTACATTTGATATTTCCTAGTTATTGCTGGAAGGTTATTAACAACAATTTTAAAGAGATGAACTCACACCTGCCAGTAAGAAAAGGACATTCCTTATTTCAGTAATGCTCTTAGATATTAATCAATATCCATTACATTAGTTCAATACCACTTTGATGTCGGACAGCCTTTTGGGAGAATTGCTGGAGCTGTGAGATTGTTGTCTTGTTGTCATTTACCTCATCTCCTTTCAAATTTATTACTAGAATAGAGAATGGAAATGGGGAATGTGTCAAAGAGACCAACCGACCAAAAAGCAGAAAAACAACCCAAGGCCACCAATGGGTCTTCAACTCAGCAAGAGAATCCTGCAAACAGAGACGGGCTTCAGTTGGCCCCTTAACAATAATGTATACTAGTTCAAGGAAGTACTACATATTTTTCTCTTATGCTGTGAATATATGACATTAATGAGTACTCTCTTTGAGGAGTATGCTCCTTATACCATCATCATAAGTGGTATTAATCTTATTCATGAGATAAATTATCATGATTATTCTATTTTACATTGTATTTCATATCTAATAGATATATTTTAGTTTGAAAGTTATTGATGTAATCCATAGTTTTCACTTCCTCTTTCAACTGCATTTTTCTTTGCAAAGTTTTGCTACCAGGATACTGTGATTTTCAGTATGTTTGTAGGTTTATGAATATTAAGGACATAAATATAGGTACAGGATAACAGAAATTGCAGGAAGGGAACTGCTAATTTAAGTCATGTCTTTATCTTACTGTCAGGTGGGAGTTCGTCACTTTTAATTATTATTGTTAATAAACCTCCAGGTATTGTGAAGAGGTAGAACAGCAATAAAAGCCTGTTTTTATTTTATATATAGGTTACTTCACCAGATTAAATTATCATGTTGCTTCATCCCATTTCCTTCTTTTTCCAATGTAACACTTACCTTTTGGTTGTTCTGTTTCATTATAGCCTGAGATAGTACCACATACTGCTATTCTCCCAAATGTTTTCATGTGTTCCAGGACTGTCATTGTAAACTCACCTCCTACCTATTAGCAATAAAGATAAATATTGTATACAATATGTACAATTAACTGTAGCACCTCATAACTAACGGGTCTGTTGTTCAACTTGTCGTTAACTTAATTGTTATCTTACCCTGAAAATGTTGTTAAAATGTCTTTTCTTCAAATGATTTTTAACTAGAGTTCTTTAAGACGAAGAGTGGAAAGGTTGAGTATTCAAAAACATTACTTTTACCCAACCATGTCTATGTGCCTATCCCAAGTTAGGAAGATCATCTGGGATAAATCACATATTTGCATTTTCCCTTTAATTCTTCTGCCTATTATTTTTGGGATCGCAGACAGGACTTGATACTCGAAAATATCAGGCAATGATGTCACATTCAATGCAGAATAGTTACATTTTTCCAGTTCATCTGCATCAATTTAACAATGAAAAGCAAACAACATCATTCATACAACTGAACAACTATCCAAATGTTTTGTACACATAAAAGAGTTTTTTTTTTAAATACTTTGTGAAAATTTATATCCTGCCCTAAGAAATATATTGTTAAGACAAACTGCTGTCAGATAAAAGAATAATGACATTCATTTTTTTTTTATACTAACTTCATCAGCTTGCCATAGTGGGCTTGCTTGATATTCTTGCCGATAAAGTCAGTCATTACTCTATATATATTTTCTGAATCAACATTCAATAACAACTGTAAAAAGTAATATTTATTTATATACGGTAAGGAGTTTTATGGTGTTGGTTTAAAATATAAATTAAAGTAGATGCAAGACATGAAAGCAGTCAAACAGCATGTTAACTGAAACAAAGACTATCAAAATAAAATGTTGAAAATCCCAACTTTTAAGTAGCATAATATCATATACTCTTTTTGTTAAAGTCTTGATTAACACTCACATTATCAAAATAGCAATCTATTCCTTCTGGAGCAGCTTCTTTTATTGCTTCATCTAACTTTACTGTTTTGTAATTATAAGCATAATCAAATCCTAGATCTCTTAACCACTGACATTTCTCCTCTGTCCCTGCAAAACCTATTACTTTACATTTCTACAAAGATAAAATTAAACCAACTATATAAAAAGAGATGTATACAAATAATAAAGGAGCTAATTACTAGACATCAAACAAAGTGAATTTTGTCCTTTCTAGACAAACAGGAATTATCTAACTAATTCATGTCAAGTTGAAAAGAAGATATGAGTGCAATACTCTAAAATAATCTATTTCATTTCAAACTTTGTGATCTTTGCCTTGAAGACAATGTTTTTTGAAGGAAAATTGGACATCAAACGTGTATATTTTAAATGTATTTTGGAAAAAGTGAATAGACTGTCAGATATGCTTAAAACATGGAGGGTAAACTGGGTAAAACCAAAATGAGGCTTATATATGCTGAAAATTTGGAATTTGTCCATTTTACTCTTTAAACAGAAGAAAAATGCACATTTTATGGAAGTGGACCATCTAAAATAAAACAAGAGGCTGTTTAGTGACAGCAAACCAGAGTTTCCTGCAGAGGTCGAACCCTGAACAGTTGAGTAAGTATGAACATAACATTTAAGCTTAAAACAGCTCTGAATTTGGATTGTGATTGAATATTTATAATAGATTATTATCTAATTAATAATGAAAATGATATTTGCAAATCTGAACCCCAAACAGGATCATGTAAAGTTTAAACATTAACACACACAACAAAAATAAAATACCACATAACAACTTTGACATCTACCTTCATAACACACATGACTTAAAAAAAATAGTTATATAGAAATTTTGATGTTATCATTACTAGTTCATGGAATAAGTTTGAGTTATTTCCCTTTGAACAGAAATATGGTTTAACATAGTACTCTAACATTAGATATGATGTAACACAATGAATATCTATTTTCAAATTATAATCAATTATAATTAATAGTTCCAAATATTTTTTCATTCATTTGTCACAAACTAATATAGATCTGCAACTTATCTATCAACTTTATCTACACAATGTAATGTAATGAAATATATCCTTTAATAAAAATAGATTACTATCTAATTAAAGGAGTTCACTTCATAAAAAAAAAATTTATATATATAGCATTCAGAAAATTAGTTTATACAGAATAACAAACAAACTTACCACAAAATTCTTCAAACAATTTGCCAAAGAAAAGAAAAAAAAATCCAAAATGTCATTTATCATGTTTCCCTTTGTAACAGAAATGGATTAATTTATCAAAAATTGAATTCTTGGGAAAGGGCTATAAGTGAACAACGAGATAAGCTAAAATCATGAAAATTGAACTTGACCTTCATTTAGTCACAAGAAACAACATATCTAAATTTGAAAAAATTTCTTCAAAGCGTTTTCATGTAAAAGAACGGACATTGTTTGGCAGCCGATCTACCACCTGCCCGCCTTACCGCCCACCCATCTGCCAGCCTGACCGCCTGACCGCCGTACATCCCCAAATCAATTACCGATTTTTACTTCGAAAATCTGGTTAATAAAAGTAGAAGAAAGGTCCTTTCAGAAATCTGTCCAAGAAAGATAATTTAAACAAGAAAAAAGAAATAAATCTACAAAATAGTTGACAGAAAATCTGAGAGTTCAAAAGTAATCTGTCTTCAACAATGAAAAGTTTGCATCAATTAGGTATCAATATGTTAAGATGAGGACCAAGAGGATCTGTGCGACAACTCTGACATGATGACAGGGCTAGTAGAAAGGAAACACCAACTTATGACTCATTGGTTGAGACAATCTTAGACACACCGGGATTGGAAAATAATGGTTCTAAAAAGTAAGGTGACTAGTGAGTAAGAAGAGGAAAATTTTGACAAAGACCTGGCTCATGTGCTTCTTAGCGGGTATAAAAAAAATACCATAAAAATGTATATCCAATACATGACAAACAGTTCCTGAGATTAAAAAATAAAAAATTATACATGTGCATACTGTATCAGAATATATAGGTAGATAAAATAGGATGTTGATGAAGGATTAATGTGAAAACTCATCAAAAGGTGAAACATGTTCACATGAAGTTTGATACTATTTCAGGAAGCTCTCATTTGAAGTTTCTACAAAAATGTGACAAAAATTTCATGCATGGCCATTATGTGTTAGAATACATAAATATTCAGTAAATATAAAGTTTATGGATATGTAAACACAGTAAATCTTGCTCAAATGAAGCTTGATACCAAAATTTATGAAGCTCTGATTTGTAGTTCCTGAGAAAAATGAGACAAAAATTTCATGTTGCAGGCGGACAGCGGTAAACCAGTACACCCCATTCTTCCGAGCTTGGGAATCAGTACAATATGTCTACTGTTTTACATAATCAGGAATGACATGTGTACAGTGCGCATGAATTTGAACATAACTGCACCCATTAATAAAGGTCTGGCTCATTATTTTGATTCCAAACCAAGACAGACTGTAAAAGTTATTATGCATTAAAATTAGACAATATAATCTAACCAGGCAATAATCATCACAATGTTCATTCAGTGACTTGTTTTGTTCTAAATTTTTATTTAATATATTTAGTCATACCTTTATTTTAGCGATCTGTCCCACGACACTACCAACTGCACCAGAAGCAGCATTCACCAGAACTGTTTCTCCCTCTGACGGTTTACACATTTCAAGAAAACCAAAATAACCAGCCATCCTGTAAGCATCATGTTTTCATTATTTCAGGTGAATACACGTTTAAGATTTTTACATCATATTTTTTTTTCAAATTGCTTCTGAAAGAAAGCAAAATGCATGTATTGTTAAAATTAAACACTCATCTTTAAGTTATAAGTCACTATACCTACTTTGAACAAATTAAGTGCCAAAATTGAAGTCAAGTTTCAGCATATGATATATATAAGCATGTTTATTATACATAAGGCTGTGAACAAGAGAAGAGATATAGGTATTGGTATACTGCTTATCAAGGCCTGCCAATGATGTCAAAACATTATCAAAGTTCTAGCACACACCTTACCCAGGCATTCCCACAACACCAAGAGCTGTGGACAATGGAAGATCTCCAAGGTCAGGCATATGACGTGTCAGGTCTGAAGTGACTGTATGTGTTCTCCATCCAGCATGTGTACGTACTATTGTTCCAACTGGATACTGGCTGTTTTTACTTTCTATCACTCTGGAACAATAAGGAGAAGTGATGCTTTTACCATAAAAGAAGAGTTCAAATGTACCATTCCTTGCACATATTTTAATTTTTTGTGGTTCTTTAAAACTTTTTATAAATATCTTACATGGGGCATAACTCCTGTAAAAATAGATTGTCAGCAATCTTCCAAGCCCTTGCTGATATAAGCCTTTAATATAAACTATATAAAAATTGGACAAGAAATGTAGGTGTGGGAGTGCTTACAATGCAATGTTCAATATAAATAACATTTTAAAGAGACATAATTCCTGTAAAAATAACAGATCACTGCTGTTTTTTTAACTCACTCAAGCCATTGCAGATTAATAAACCTTTGATATCAATTTCATAACTATCTGGCAAGAATTGTACACTTGCATGACTTGAGAGCACTTACAATGCAATTTTCTATAGAATTTACATTTATAAGGAACATAATTCCTGTAAAAATAATTGATCAGCCCGGATTTTTCGAACTCATCCCAGATCATAAGAATCCTACAAGAAATGTAGGCTTGAGAGCACCTACAATGCAAATTTTAATATAATTATTATTTCCATGGCGCATAACTCTTAAAATAGTAACTAATTGTCGAACTAGGCAGAAACATTGCTATTATAAAGAAAGATTTGCCAAAAATTGTACATGTGAGAGCTCTTACAAAACATGACAGACGGACACAGGGATGACAAGTGTTTCTGTGTCCCCCACACCACGTAGCATGGGGAACAAAAGTACCATAACTATAAAATTTGAACTTTCCATTCACTTGAAAGCATCATAATTTTCGAACAGCTTATTACACTTACCACAAAATGAAGATAAGGAGGAGTACTACATACAAGGAATCCATTGAACCAATTTTATTTGGAATATCTGTGTCACAGATGACCACAGAAAGGTTCCATTTGTCTCAGCCATAATACCAGTTATCACTGAATTTTTAACTGAAATGAGCAGCACTAAAGATGCCAATTATTGGAGCAGTAACTTCATACGCTTTCCCCTTGATTTTATATTTTTGTTTAACTGTTTTGTCTTTCTTTTCTTTTGGTCATGATGTCGTCTGCCTTTCTTCAACATTAGGTTTTTGGTTGACCTTATGGGTTCTTCTCCTCTTTTAAGATAAAGTTTAAGATAAAAGTTTTTTTTTCATATTTGAGATCAACAATTGGGATTCAAGGTTTTATTTTCCTTTTTGAGAAAAGATTATCAAGAAAGAAATTTATTATTTACTTCATTGCAAATAAGGGTTTCCCAAGGTTTTTATTGTCACTTGTGAATTTTGGAATAGTAAAAAGTAACAAAAACAACTGAAAATGAAATTTTAATAAAATGTTGTTGTTTTTTTGTATTGTGCTACCTGAAGAGGTTTTTTTGCATTATTATGTTATGATGAATTTTGCATGAGTTTATACTAGTGCAGGTTATCAAAAAGTTTCTTGTCTCAAAAAAGGCTAACAACTTTTATAACCGTATAAAGATTGAAAATACATCATGAAACAATTTTTATTGTTTATCCAGAAATGAGCATGGGATATGTTTGAATCTCATATACTAATAGTGAGTGATACATCATTCTGATTCAAAAGTATTGCATTTTAAAAAGGACTTACAGTCTAGTGAATATTATGAAGTATTGAAACTGCATCATCCTGACCTTTATTTTGACAATGTAATCTTAATCATAACACACTCTCTAGAGGTGAGGAGTTGAAGCTATCATATATCATCACAATACACCAAGAGATTATTGATAAAGATAAAAAAGAATGCCTAGAAGTTTAACTCAGGTATCAGTATTTGTAATGTTTTACAATCTTTTTGGAAATTCTTAATTGATTTGGTTTTCCAACTGTCGATTTGAGTGCCACTGACTAGTCCTGTGTGTACTATAAACTATATGCCAGTCTGGCATTACAAACTTTAAGCCTTGTATGTTTTTTCTCCGAAATTGACCTTTAACCTGGTTATTTACATCTGATTCATGACATACCATTTGTGACAGTAAATAATTATTCCCCATTTGAATCTTTCAAAGAATTCAGAAGAGTTATCCACCTTAATAGTATTATATAATTAGCATTGTGGTGTCTGCAATCCTGAATTTTTAAATTCTTGTAAGCTGTATTGTTTGCTTTGGCTTATATGGCTAGGTGGAGATTCTTCTTAATCAGATTAACTATAGTCATAGTCTGTTGGATAAATTGCTGCTTGACAGTTTTTTTGTGGTGCTTGGTAGTATAAACTTAAAGTCTGAGTGGTGCCTGCTGAAGCTACCATCTGGATTTTGTTAGTAGCTGAATTAACACTCAGGAAATAGTTGGTTGCTTAGTACTACCTGATGGATGATCAGTAGATTTTGTTTTAAGTCATCATTTACACTGCCTTAGTGTTTATTTGTTAGAAAAATTATCTGAGTGCTAACTGATATTTACTTAAGGCGAAGTGTACGTAATTGCACGCCTCTAGCGGAATTTAGGATAAAAAACGTGCGTCGTTAGTTACGCGGGTTATCTCACCTACTCCAAGAAAGGAAAAATGGGCACATGAAAGAAAAATGACTTCGTGCGGTCTATCATGAATCCAAACAAGTATTCATGTGCTATCTCAAAACTTCAAAGAAATTATTAGAATGACTCCAATCAGAAATCTGAGTATCCTATTGTGAGTTAGTCTGACTTTATTACCACTGTTTTTGTTTTAGACACGCAGGAGCAGGTACACAATACGACTCGTGTTTTTTCAACAGAAGGTAAAAACGCATAAACAACAAAATTATAACCAAATAAACAAATAAACCAGTGACAATTCTGCTTCTACTCGTATCAAATTCATTAAAATCAAACCAGAATTGACCCCACAATATTTTTTGAAAAACCATAGTTTTGAATGAAATTCACAGTGTAGCGTAAAATTGTAGGTAACGAATAATTATATTGCATGTGAATTTGTGTGTTGAACAAGAAAGACGTTGGCATGTCCGTTTTTATGCAATTGAAAATTTTATGATGTTTTATATTTTATTATTTATGTAAAAAGTATAAAAGATACTAAGGGGTAATCGACAACTAGTACAACATAATGAACATTTATAAGCCGAAGGCGAAGAAAAAGCCAACAGCAAAAAAAAAAAAAACATCAGATTCCGTCCACAAAACATTACACACTCAGAAACTAAGAATTGAGCACTATAACATTTATCTCAGAATAAGTAAAATATATGTCATCCAAATCTCAGTTTTCAAGGTGCAGAAAATAAACAGGTGTCTTCTATTCCGTCCGCAATTTTTGGGGAAAGTAAAATCTAAATTTAGAACCATGGTTGAAACTGAAACTACACATGTATGATAAAAATAGAACGTGTTATTTTTTTCTTTATCAAATTCCAATTTCGAAGGGATAGCGAAATATGTTTTCTTTTGTTGTGCTTTTGTGTATCATTCAGCAGTAGTATAAGGTAGGGGAAGAAGGGGTAGGCAGGCGCATAGCAACCCGTACGCAAAAACGCAGTTGCGTACACATCGAAAATTTGACAAAAATAAAAATATGGCCAATCTAGTAAGAATAAAACTGAAGTAATAGAATAAATTAAAAAGTATTATAAAAATATGCTAATAGTCACTTTGTAACTATATTTCGTTCCTGAAACCAGTCTACTCTTTTCATGTACGGAACCAGCATCGTGATTGTGTTGCTGATGCACACAATTAAAATAGCTGAGTCCTCGGGGTGTCAGAACACAATTGTTACGGCTGCAATGCCTCCTTACCCTGACATTTCTGAAGATTTCAAAATAACTGATGAAATAAAATATGATGTTCTTGGGCAACAAGTCATTCTTATGATTATCATGTGAGATATGTAGAGTCTTACATACGTCGTCATAACAGATTTTTTTAAACAATCCAGTCAAACTTAATATAAACTTAAGATTGTTAATGGTAATTTTCTTACAACGTCTTTGCCGTTTTTTTTCTTATTTGACGATCAGCGTGTTTTTACTTTTTTATTCTACGTTCGGTCGTGCAAGATGGGTGCCTCGTTCAACATGTTCCCTCGATTTAACTATACATGCCTCGAGACTAAAAGTGCTTATTCTCCATGTTCATTTAAAGTGCTTGTTCTCCTTGCTTGGCCGGTAAAAATAAAATACTCTCGTTTTGGAAGTAGATAAATAGAAATCGGAAATACTGAATTTCGTGCTTTTCCTTGTTGATTTCTGGACTTCAAACGTATTTATATATAGTTAAAGGTTTCCTAATTATGATATTATAAAAGAGGGACGAAAGATACCAGAGGGACAGTCAAACTCATAGATCGAAAACAAACTGACAATGCCATTGCCAAAAATAAAAAGACAAACAGACAAATAATAGTACAGATGACACAACATAGAAAACTAAAGACTAAGCAACACGAACCCCACCAAAAACTGGGGGTGATCTCAGGTACTCGGAAAGGGCAAGCAGATCCTGCTCCACATGTGGCACCCGTCGTGTTGCTTATGTTATTACAAATCCGGTAAATAGTCTAATTCGGTAGGTCACATTCGTGAAAAGGGAAGGTTATTGTAGTTACGACATAAGGAACATATCCGATATCATCTGTGAAACGGTTATTCCATAACGGTCAACCAACTCGTGATGGCGTCCGTAAAATTTACGAAGGGATGATTTCAATTTCACCATTAAGAGGATATATACTCGGGAAACTTTAATATACTTAACGTATATGCATATATGCCGGTATCTACGGCAACGACAGAACGATCTGTCGGTACCATGAGAAGACCAGAGAAATACAATGAAAACCAATCGTTTATCTGGGCTTGGTCTATTGAACATATACCGCGAAAAACAAATTTCAACAGACACGGTTTTGGACATCTCCAGTAGATGAAAGGAAAGGAAATGGTCATTGACTTTCAGAATTAACTTTGAGAATTAAAAGCTAAAAGAAAGACTGTTTGTTCTCTTATAAAATAAAACTTAGAGAAATGTGACTCCATTTATTTATTTATTTTCTCCAAAAAAAAATTCCATTTAAGTTGCACGGTGTTAGCTTAGAAATTTGAATTTTTAATGTATAGTGGTTTGAAACTGATTAGGTAACAATTAAAATATATGGTAGTGGCACTCTATATTTTAATTGTACCTAATATATATAAACAAGTTCTACCTACTACACATTAGAAGTTTGCTTTGTCTAATTAATTTTTTTTTTCAAATTTAATTATTTTAAAAAGTTGACTTGTTACTCATTAAAATGTGGGGGGGGGGGGGTCATTTTAAGTCCCAGGAAATCGCGAGAATGCAGGATTTTGCATCATTTACTCCAGAGCTTCTGGGGCCCTTCAGCGGCCCCCAGACCCCTCGCCGTATGACTTCCTTCCTTGGCATTGAGTACACATCATTTTGGCCTAGCTACGCCCCTGGTAGGGGTGAAGAAAATAAGGTCTACAATGTTGGGGCTTTTTATAACCGACTATACGATATGGATTTTTCTCATTGTTGAAGGATCGCCGCGATATAGCCTTGTTGTGCTAATGCAGCGTAAAGCAACCAACAATCAATAAATCATTGTTGAAGGCCGTATGGTTGCCTATAACAATTGCTTACATCCACATCATTTAAGGTAGCTGGGGTGTCTAAATGTTGGACGATAAATTTTTCTTAAACTTCTGTAAAAGACTTCTGGGTCAATGTAATTTCAAATTTCAATATAAAAACTGGGGATCACGAACCTTGTTTTTTCGTAATAACACATTGAAATTAACGAAATTTGGGTTATTTTATATTGTTAATATAGGGGAAACTTTAGTTTTCCTTATTGCGGAAACATTAAACGATAGAATTGGCTAAAATTCGATGAGAAAATTGCTTTTCATTAATAACTCCGAAATATCAAATAAAAATAGGGGTCACGGGCCTTATTTTCTTGAAAAAATCCCCAAAAATTTTAAACATACTTTACGACACTTAATTTTTTGATAGCTCAATCTTTAAATTTCAAGTTTTAGGTATTTTGTTGTATATTAAATGATACTTGGTAAAATATTTTTAAAACAAAAAAGTATTTTTGCAACATGATCAGAACGGACGCTCAGAAAAGACACCAGATCTACCTTAAACTGTGGCAGATAGTTGTCTCATTTGCAATCATACCACATCTCCTTATTTTCATATTATATTAACAAAACTGCAATTCATTTGCATTATATACAGGGACAAGTTATATCAAAAACTCCGATCTGTTTTACTTTGCTAAAATTCATATGCGGGTTCTTCTTTTGACCTTATTACAGCCATAAAAATTCTCAAGATAATATGCAGATGCAGTTTTCTTATTTTTTGGGAGTCGTGCATGTGGATATTCAACAAATAATGGTACAAGAAATTATTTCCTTTTTTACTTAAAATCTCGAGCAAACATTATATTATGCTTTATCGTGTAGTTAAAGAAAAGGGAAAGCGATCGAGACAGGAAATTTTTAAAATAAAATTGCAGAGTTGTGTCACGTGCACGTGTGTGAACCTGACAAATAAAATGGGTTTTGTGCGCAATACCTCGAATAGCGCCGGAAATGGTGAGGATGAAAAGATGCAGCAAATTATATACACTTTTTTAAAATACAAACATGCAGAAATAAGATTTTAAAAAAGACGTGTATACGCGATCCCAATATTATAACCGATTATTAAAATACGTATAGAATCATTCTGTCAACGCTGTGTTAACCGGGACAATTTCAAACTTGATATTTGATTCATAATTATTAGAACAATACAATATAAAAATAAGAAGATGTGGTATGATTGCCAATGAGACAACTCTCCACAAGAGTCCAAATGACACAGAAATTAACAACTATAGGTTACCGTACGGCCTTCAACAATGATCAAAGCCCATAGTCAGCTATAAATACAAGCATTTCAAAAAAGATGTGGAACCATGTCTAATTAAGAAAAGATGGAGTTAAAGTCTATACAGTAACTTTCTTTCACTTGCAGTATATTTATTTGCCAATTTGCTTTTTTTTTGGCAGCAGAATTATCCTTAAAAAATACTCAGTTTATTTCCTTATCAATTGATTACGCTTGAGCATTTGCAATAATTAGGAAAATGGGTTATAAATAATTCGTAAATATAAATCAACATGTAGACATCTTATACGTTCAGGTATTTCACATCCAATATTTTTTGGTAATATTCTTTACAAAGCACAAAAATGTCGGCATTCTCCTCAAAAGCTAACCAAAACTTTAAACAGACTTATTCAGAAAGGATATAGTTACGATACTGTTGTCAGGTAATTAAGGATTGCATATTTTGGTATTAATATTGATTCACTCATAGGGTCTTTGTATCGGAAATAAACACTATTATTCTAAAACCAGTTGTTGGCATGATACGGGTTATGTTCTTCTCATATATTTTATGATTGTATGATACTAAACCCCTAACGGGAGGGATTGTACTTGATTTTCATATGATGAAGACATAATCTTTCAATCAGTTTAATTGAGGTCTGGAGCTGGCATGTCAATAACTGCTAGTAGTCCTTTGTTAATTTATGTATCATTGTCTTTTTGTTTAGTTTCTTTTGTTACCTATTCTGACATCGGACTCGGGCTTCTTTTAAACTGAGTTATACTGTGCGTTTTGCTATGTGTTTCTTTATTCTACATTGGCTAGAGGTATAGGGGGAGGATTGAGATCTCACAAAACATGTTTAACCCCGCCGCATTTTTGCGCCTGTCCCAAGTCAGGAGCCTCTGGCCTTTGTTAGTCTTGTATATTTTTTTAATTTTAGTTCATTTATATATCAGTTTTGGAGTTTAGTGTGACGTCCATTTTCACTGAACTAGTACACAATTTTATTTAGGGGCCAGCTGAGGACCACCTCCGGGTGCGGGATTTTCTCACTGCGTTGAAGACCCATTGGTGGCCTTCGGCTGTTGTCTGCTCTTTGGTCGGGTTGTTGTCTCTTTGACATATTCCCCATTTCCATTCTCAATTTGATACACAATCACGATTTTGTTTCGACACTGTACGGTATAATAGCGTTATAGAGTTATATCTAGTAGAAATTGTGATGACGTTACAGTAGACATCAATAACGTCGCCGAATGTTTTTTATTCTTTCCGCTAAAAATCAAACTTCCACAGGATATAGCTTGAAAACTAGCACAGTTTCTAAGGACTTTCTTTGCACCAATGGGTTCGTCGTTCATTTTTGAATCGCATATCGATTTTTAAAAAAATTCTGTGGACCAACGAATTCGAAAATCTTGATAAAGTAAAAATATCTGCCGATTTTTATGATTTTCCCTATATATCCTTTGTATTTTTGGCGTATCATGCTGTTAATTTCAACAGCTTGTATCTTAAAAACGAAAACGGTTACCCCTTTTTTTTATTTTATTGTTTGATGTATTTTTAAAAGCAGAATCCACATGTAAAATTAAAAAAAATTCTGTGGAGTAGTTATTTACGTACACTTCGCCTTAAGGTGATATTTATTCATTTATTGGATACCTCTAAACATACCTGGCAATCTGCTCACCAATCATTGTATCTCCAACTTTAGCTCTATCTGCTACAAAAGGTCTGAAATCATACAAATGCTTTTGTTAGCAATAAAATAAGATTTTTATTACAGAATACATTGAAGACAATGATAAAGCCAAAAACACATCAATAAAAATTTGTAAAATACATGTATTGATAAATATTACATATCATAAGCTAATAGAACTGGAAATTGTAAGTTTGAGTAATCTCAAAGCTTAGCTTCAAATCAAACAATGCCACATTAAATTTTCCTCAATATTTCCATATTTATCGTTAAGGAATATCTGTGTCACAGATGACCCTGGATATGTTCAAATTGTCATAACCACAATCATGTCCTCTTTTCCTTGATAGTGACATCATTGAATGAGACCTATCATCAATTTGTACTTTTACCATGAGCAATATTAAAGGTGCCACTAGTGGAGCAGGATCTGCTTACCCTTCCAGAGCACCTGAGATCCCCCCAAGTTGTGTTGGGTTCCTGATGTTCAGTTTTTAGTTTTCTATGTAGTGTTTTGTGGACTTGTTTGTCTATTCATTGTCTTTCTATATTTGTCATGCTATTGTCAATTCCTCTTGACTTATTCACTTTGAATATCCAATGGGTATCTTTCGTCTCCTTTTTTTTACTACATTTCACTTTTTATTAAACTAACAATGCATGTATGTCACATGCAACAGGGGGAGAAAAAATATTCCAAAAGTTAGTCCTGGAGCTTTATTTGTACATTTGGTTTTTTTTTCAGCATTGTTTGTTGTCGTAGTGTGTTTGTCAATATAATGGAATTCTATGCGACTGTCATACAAGTGAGAGGTTTAGCTAGCTATAAAACCAGGTTTCATCCACCATTTTCAACACAAGTAAATGCCAGTACCAAGTCAGGAATATGACAGTTGTTTTCCATTTGTTTGATGTGTTTGAGCTTTTGATTTTGCCATTTGATAAGGGACTTTCTGTTTTTGAATTTTCCTTTGAGTTCGGTATTTTTGTTACTGTGGATTAATTATAATTCGTGGGATACCAATTTTCATTGATTTCGTGGATATAGGTAAACCACGAATTTAAATGTATAACAAAGAACAAATTTTCTAAAGCTTGTAAATGCTGACTTTGGTAAAACCACGAAATCAAACATGTTTCCTCAATCCACGAAAATTGGTATCCACGAAAATAAATGAATCCACAGTATTTACTTTTTACCCTGTGGAAGAAACTGGGAACACAGTTACACCTAAGGCTTTTTACAGGGTTTGCCTTGCACTACCATAAGTTTTCTATTTTATAGACAACAGTTACTACAGGGTTTTTTCTCTCCATTTTTTCCAAGGTCATCAAAAATGAAGGTGTAAAAGTGGACAGGAAAGTGAGTTTGGATAAACTTCATTTGGTTGTAAAGACTTTCTCCTCTACACCAAGATATCAATAATAGGCTAACATATTTTATGAAGCTATGAAACTATATAACACTCTGAAGTACCTCATGTAGGGATCCACTGACATATAAAGCGCTTCTAGTAACATTTCTGAAAAGAAATTAATACGTCCAGGTAAGAATGATCAGCATAACATCTTTACATCAATAATAATTCAATAAACACTATGATAAAAAATTTGAAATGAACAGCAGTCAACAATAACAAATTAAAACTTACTTAAGATAGTTTTACAGGAACACAAGTACCATATTATACTATATTACAAAAAAATCATAATATAAATTTTTGGTCAATACAGTATTTCTATCACAATAACCAACTTTTATCTGTATCTAAGGTTATAAACCTATAAAACTGCAGAGCAACACATTTGATAGGGACTAATGGGAAGTGGTTAAAATGCTGACCCCTCCCAAATCTTCCTGCACAGTTGTTTCCACTTGCCTTTCTCTGCCTTTGGAACACAAGGGCACCTGCTACCTGGCGGAGGTGGCCACTGGAATTTTCATTATAAGAAGGATGCATGATTAATTGATTGATTGTTGCTTGCTTGCTTAACATCCAGTGGAAAATATTTCATGCATATTCATAAGGCAATATGCAGCAGTAAATGATGTTCTAAGGGAAGCAGCAACAAGCAATGCCATGGATTTCTAGAGGGGAGGAGAAGAGGAAAGGGGTAGGATACAAAATTAAAACATGTACCGGGGTATAAAAAAATGTTAATTCTTTTAATACTCATATACTATGAGAGAGGTTATAGAGATGTAGCTTATAATTCAAGTATTTATAGTTTTGTTAAAGATAATTATACCCCTTTTACTGAGGTCTGTGTCTGGTATGTCCATTTTTATCAGCTCTGAACATTGGTTTATGCTTCTTGTTTTTTGATATATTGATTTGTTGCTATCTTTTTGTATTTTTTCTGTCAATTTCAAAGTAAATATGGTAACTTCTAATTATTAAATGTACATGTATATATATGCATATGTCATATGTTGCTGGGACATCGTGTGTAACTTGTCCATCCACATTCTCACCACATCATTTGACCTAAAGGAGCTTGCATGTGCCCCAACAGGAGTTAAAAATAAAAATATAGCACACTTAAAGTAACTATTGAAGTGCAAGGGATGTCATCAACACAACTCAACTTTATCCATCATGCACAACAGTAACTGAATTAACAAAAAGCATTTCCCCTCACATTTTGTCCTACCGAAAAACACAAAATTTTCTTAAAAACAAAACTATAAATTTAATCTTGCCTCCTTCCTTTAAATCAGGCAAATTCTCTTCCACAAGTTCCAGATCATCTTCCTTTGGTTCACCATGAAACATTGCCCTTATCTTCCATACTTTTGCTTTCACCATAATGTCAAACCAGACTGTTTTTCTTCACTAAGTAATTTCCTACAATATTTCAGGTAATTAACACTTTTGTTTATTAACAAGCACTTCACCTTATGATCATCTATACACTCAATATAGTTGACCTATTACTAATTGTGTCTTAGAAACTGACAAAATCACTAATGTACCATGAAAATAAGGTCGATATCAGATGAATCCTTTCTGAGGGACAATCATTCTATACACTGAATACACAGGTACATGCAGTTGACTTATTTAGCCTTATCAACTATTCTTAATTTTTTTTTATTTCAGACAAGGTTATGGTAATCATGGTGATGGCATAAATAGTTTAATAAGTCTGTAATATGGATGGAATTTACTTGGTTTACCTTTGTTAAACTATTTACATATCCGTTGGAAAATTAGCTTACAAATGATATGAATGGCTAGCTAAATTGTCTTACAAGGAAGACAACCATTTTTTCTCGTAATAATGTGTACAAAAGTACAATCAGTAGTGTAGGGGAGTCAATTCTTGATATACTTTTCATATGAAAAGCATAGGATTTATAGAAATAATCTGTAGCATGTGAATGCATGAAGAAAAAAAAAAGAAGAAAATCCCACATCTTTACATTTGTCCTGACCATTTAAGCTATGTTTAAGCAAGTAACCTTGTATGTATTTAATTGAGGATTTTTTTTTAATGTGGCTCGTAAATGCATATGCTAATTTGATAAACAATTTTTAACAACAAAACACATCCTGAAGATCTATACATACATGTTCTTAAACATTATCGTTTGACTTTAATTGTTACTCTTTTTATTTTTATAAGTAATTTTGTTACAACTCTTTGTAGGTAGTTTTATAGTGATTAAACAACTAGCCCCACTGGACGCAATTATAACTGGACAAAGTTACCTATGATTTCAAATGTTTGCCCTCAGAAATCATATTTATGCATGATAATTAATAACTGTTGCTATAAATAAAAACTACACTAAAATGCTTTTTTTCATGATAAAATAATTCATGCATACTTGGTGAATGCTGCAGACCAGGACAAAATCATTCTGTAACATCAAAAGAACAACACCTGGAAATTACATAAAAAATCATAACTGTAAGTGCATATTGCCTCCTTTTGTCAATATATTGAAAGAAAAATATCTCCTGATTCTGTTCATATGTGTGATGCCTTTCATCTTGCCCAAATAACCCCAAAGTTAACACTTTCTCCACTCCAGTGACCCTGAGCATAGTCAAAAGAAAATATGGTAACTTTATCGATAAGTCCCAAGAACTCCATAAGTATTTAATGCACAATGTTGAAAAAAATCATAGGTTCACCAACCAAATGGGGAATCTTGAATTTAGTGATCCTTAGAAGAAGGAACTCACATAAAAAACTAAACAATTATGAAGTTTAGACAGTCATTTTGTTGGAAAACAGCTGAAGCATGTGAAGTATTTGAAATAAAATACCAACTCACACTTCTTATTTTCCTCTGGAAATGTGTTTGAGATTAGATTAATGTATGTTTCACCAATCTAGATTGTTGTCATTGATTTCATCCGCCAAATATAGTGCTGTTGGAAATTGCTTCCATATTTGGCTGGCTTGACCCGTAAAACCATACCACGTAAGTCTAACTAAAGTACCCTAACATGTATAGATAAAATGCTCCGCTGGGCGCAGCTTGATACGACCGCAGAGGTCGAACCCTGAACAGATGGGGCAAGTATGGACACAACATTCAAGCTTGATACAGCACTGAATTTGGATTGTAATTAAATATTTGACACAGCATAGGTTTCTGACACAGAATGAATGTGGTCTAAGAACTTTTTTAAGAAAAAAATTAATTTACCTATTCAAACCATATCATTATTATTTGCTTTTATATATAAATCAGAAATAACCAATTTAAAATGGAAAATTTTAAAGAAAAAAAAGGAAAAAAAAATCCCCCCCCCAAATTTTTTGAACCCCCTTATGATTCATCACCCCCAAACTCAACCCCAGCCTTCCCTTTGTGGTATGGTACCTTGCAGTACAATTTCAGAGAGATCCATACACTTAAACACAAGTTATTGTCTGGAAACTAGAAAAATGCTTGTTTTTTGGCCCTTTTTTGGCCCCAAATTCCTAACTGTATAAGGCAATTACCCCCAAACTCAAACCCAGCTTTCCCTTTGTGACATGGAACCTTGTAGTACAATTTCATAAAGATCCATACACTTACACACAAGTTATTGTCCTGAAACTAGAAAAATGCTTGTTTTTTTGCCCCTTTTTGGCCCCTTATTCCTAAAATTTTGAGGCAATTACCCCCAAAATCAATCCCAGCCTTCCCTTTATGATATGGTACCTTGCAGTACAATTTCAGAGAGATCCATACACTTGAACACAAGTTATTGTCTGGAAACTAGAAAATGCTTATTTTTGGCCCCTTATTCCTAAACGTTTTAGGCAATTACCCCCAAACTCTATTCCAGCTTTCCTTTTGTGATATGAAACCTTGTAGTATAATTTCAAAAAGATCCATACACTTACACACAAGTTATTGTCATGAAAATAGAAAAATGCTTGTTTTTTGCCCCTTTTTTGGCCCCTAATTCCTAAAATTTTGAGGCAATTACCCCCAAAATCAATCCCAGCCTTCCCTTTGTGATATGGAACCTTGTGGTACAATGTCAGAGAGATACATACACTAAAACACAAGTTATGTCTGGAAGTTACAAAAATGCATATTTTTGGCCCCTTTTTGGCCTCTAATTCCGTAACTGTTGTTACCATAAACCCCAAAACCAATCCCAACCTTCCTTTAGTGGTATTGAACCTTATGGTAAAATTTCAGAGAGATCCATACACTTAAACACAAGTTATTGTCTGGAAACTAGAAAAATGCTTGTTTTTTGGCCCCTTTTTGGCCCCAAATTCCTAACTGTATAAAGGAAATTACCCCAAAACTCAAACCCAGCTTTCCCTTTGTGACATGGAACCTTGTAGTACAATTTCATAAAGATCCATACACTTACACACAAGTTATTGTCTGGAAACCAAAAAAATGCTTGTTTTTTTGCCCCTTTTTGGCCCCATATTCCTAAAATTTTGAGGCAATTACCCCCAAAATCAATCCCAGCCTTCCCTTTGTGATATGGTACCTTGCAGTACAATTTCAGAGAGATCCATACACTTGAACACAAGTTATTGTCTGGAAACTAGAAAATGCTTATTTTTGGCCCCTTTTTGGCCCCTTATTCCTAAACGTTTTGGGCAATTACCCCCAAACTCAATTCCAGCTTTCCCTTTGTGATATGAAACCTTGTAGTACAATTTCAAAAAGATCCATACACTTACACACAAGTTATTGTCATGAAAATAGAAAAATGCTTGTTTTTTGCCCCTAGTTCCTAAAATTTTGAGGCAATTACCCCCAAAATCAATCCCAGCCTTCCCTTTGTGATATGGAACCTTGTGGTACAATGTCAGAGAGATACATACACTAAAACACAAGTTATGTCTGGAAGTTACAAAAATGCATATTTTTGGCCCCTTTTTGGCCTCTAATTCCTTAACTGTTGGTACCATAAACCCCAAAATCAATCCCAACCTTCCATTTGTGGTATTGAACCTTATGGTAAAATTTCAGAGAGATCCATACACTTAAACACAAGTTATTGTCTGGAAACTAAAAAAATGCTTGTTTGTTGGCCCCTTTTTGGCCCCAAATTCCTAACTGTATAAGGCAATTACCCCCAAACTCAAACCCAGCTTTCCCTTTGTGACATGGAACCTTGTAGTACAATTTCATAAAGATCCATACACTTACACACAAGTTATTGTCTGGAAACTAGAAAAATGCTTGTTTTTTTGCCCCTTTTTGGCCCCTTATTCCTAAAATTTTGAGGCAATTACCCCCAAAATCAATCCCAGCCTTCCCTTTGTGATATGGTACCTTGCAGTACAATTTCAGAGAGATCCATACACTTGAACACAAGTTATTGTCTGGAAACTAGAAAATGCTTATTTTTGGCCCCTTATTCCTAAACGTTTTGGGCAATTACCCCCAAACTCAATTCCAGCTTTCCTTTTGTGATATGAAACCTTGTAGTATAATTTCAAAAAGATCCATACACTTACACACAAGTTATTGTCATGAAAATAGAAAAATGCTTGTTTTTTGCCCCTTTTTTGGCCCCTAATTCCTAAAATTTTGAGGCAATTACCCCCAAAATCAATCCCAGCCTTCCCTTTGTGATATGGAACCTTGTGGTACAATGTCAGAGAGATACATACACTAAAACACAAGTTATGTCTGGAAGTTACAAAAATGCATATTTTTGGCCCCTTTTTGGCCTCTAATTCCGTAACTGTTGTTACCATAAACCCCAAAATCAATCCCAACCTTCCTTTTGTGGTATTGAACCTTATGGTAAAATTTCAGAGAGATCCATACACTTAAACACAAGTTATTGTCTGGAAACTAGAAAAATGCTTGTTTTTTGGCCCCTTTTTGGCCCCAAATTCCTAACTGTATAAGGCAATTACCCCCAAATTCAAACCCAGCTTTCCCTTTGTGACATGGAACCTTGTAGTACAATTTCATAAAGATCCATACACTTACACACAAGTTATTGTCTGGAAACTAGAAAAATGCTTGTTTTTTTGCCCCTTTTTGGCCCCATATTCCTAAAATTTTGAGGCAATTACCCCCAAAATCAATCCCAGCCTTCCCTTTGTGATATGGTACCTTGCAGTACAATTTCAGAGAGATCCATACACTTGAACACAAGTTATTGTCTGGAAACTAGAAAATGCTTATTTTTGGCCCCTTTTTGGCCCCTTTTTCCTAAACGTTTTGGGCAATTACCCCCAAACTCAATTCCAGCTTTCCCTTTGTGATATGAAACCTTGTAGTACAATTTCAAAAAGATCCATACACTTACACACAAGTTATTGTCATGAAAATAGAAAAATGCTTGTTTTTTGCCCCTTTTTTGGCCTCTAATTCCTAAAATTTTGAGGCAATTACCCCCAAAATCAATCCCAGCCTTCCCTTTTTGATATGGAACCTTGTGGTACAATGTCAGAGAGATACATACACTAAAACACAAGTTATGTCTGGAAGTTACAAAAATGCATATTTTTGGCCCCTTTTTGGCCTCTAATTCCTTAACTGTTGGTACCATAAACCCCAAAATCAATCCCAACCTTCCTTTTGTGGTATTGAACCTTGCAGTACAATTTCAGAGAGATCCATACACTTAAACACAAGTTATTGTCTGGAAACTAGAAAAATGCTTGTTTGTTGGCCCCTTTTTGGCCCCAAATTCTTAACTGTATAAGGCAATTACCCCAAAACTCAAACCCAGCTTTCCCTTTGTGACATGGAACCTTGTAGTACAATTTCATAAAGATCCATACACTTACACACAAGTTATTGTCTGGAAACTAGAAAAATGCTTATTTTTTTGCCCCTTTTTGGCCCCTTATTCCTAAAATTTTGAGGCAATTACCCCCAAAATCAATCCCAGCCTTCCCTTTGTGATATGGTACCTTGCAGTACAATTTCAGAGAGACACAAGTTATTGTCTGGAAACTAGAAAATGCTTATTTTTGGCCCCTTTTTGGCCCCTTATTCCTAAATGTTTTGGGCAATTACCCCCAAACTCAATTCTAGCTTTCCCTTTGTGATATGAAACCTTGTAGTACAATTTCAAAAAGATCCATACACTTACACACAAGTTATTGTCATGAAAATAGAAAAATGCTTGTTTTTTGCCCCTTTTTGGCCCCTAATTCCTAAAATTATGAGGCAATTACCCCCAAAATCAATCCCAGTCTTCCCTTTGTGATATGGAACCTTGTGGTACAATGTCAGAGAGATACATACACTAAAACACAAGTTATGTCTGGAAGTTACAAAAATGCATATTTTTGGCCCCTTTTTGGCCTCTAGTTCCTTAACTGTTGGTACCATCAACCCCAAAATCAATCCCAACCTTCCTTTTGTGGTATTGAACCTTATGGTAAAATTTCAGAGAGATCCATACACTTAAACACAAGTTATTGTCTGGAAACTAGAAAAATGCTTGTTTTTTGGCCCCTTTTTGGCCCCAAATTCCTAACTGTATAAGGCAATTACCCCCAAACTCAAACCCAGCTTTCCCTTTGTGACATGGAACCTTGTAGTACAATTTCATAAAGATCCATACACTTACACACAAGTTATTGTCTGGTAACTAGAAAAATGCTTGTTTTTTTGCCCCTTTTTGGCCCCTTTTTCCTTAAATTTTGAGGCAATTACCCCTAAAATCAATCCCAGCCTTCCCTTTGTGATATGGTACCTTGCAGTACAATTTCAGAGAGATCCATGCACTTGAACACAAGTTATTGTCTGGAAACTAGAAAATGCTTATTTTTGGCCCCTTTTTGGCCCCTTATTCCTAAATGTTTTGGGCAATTACCCCCAAACTCAATTCCAGCTTTCCCTTTGTGATATGAAACCTTGTAGTACAATTTCAAAAAGATCCATACACTTACACACAAGTTATTGTCATGAAAATAGAAAAATGCTTGTTTTTTGCCCCTTTTTTGGCCCCTAATTCCTAAAATTTTGAGGCAATTACCCCCAAAATCAATCCCAGCCTTCCCTTTGTGATATGGAACCTTGTGGTACAATGTCAGAGAGATACATACACTAAAACACAAGTTATGTCTGGAAGTTACAAAAATGCATATTTTTGGCCCCTTTTTGGCCTCTAATTCCTTAACTGTTGGTACCATAAACCCCAAAATCAATCCCAACCTTCCTTTTGTGGTATTGAACCTTACGGTAAAATTTCAGAGAGATCCATACACTTAAACACAAGTTATTGTCTGGAAACTAGAAAAATGCTTGTTTGTTGGCCCCTTTTTGGCCCCAAATTCTTAACTGTATAAGGCAATTACCCCCAAACTCAAACCCAGCTTTCTCTTTGTGACATGGAACCTTGTAGTACAATTTCATAAAGATCCATACACTTACACACAAGTTATTGTCTGGAAACTAGAAAAATGCTTGTTTTTTTGCCCCTTTTTGGCCCCTTATTCCTAAAATTTTGAGGCAATTACCCCCAAAATCAATCCCAGCCTTCCCTTTGTGATATGGTACCTTGCAGTACAATTTCAGAGAGATCCATACACTTGAACACAAGTTATTGTCTGGAAACTAGAAAATGCTTATTTTTGGCCCCTTTTTGGCCCTTATTCCTAAATGTTTTGGGCAATTACCCCCAAACTCAATTCTAGCTTTCCCTTTGTGATATGAAACCTTGTAGTACAATTTCAAAAAGATCCATACACTTACACACAAGTTATTGTCATGAAAATAGAAAAATGCTTGTTTTTTGCCCCTTTTTGGCCCCTAATTCCTAAAATTATGAGGCAATTACCCCCAAAATCAATCCCTGCCTTCCCTTTGTGATATGGAACCTTGTGGTACAATGTCAGAGAGATACATACACTAAAACACAAGTTATGTCTAGAAGTTACAAAAATGCATATTTTTGGCCCCTTTTTGGCCTCTAGTTCCTTAACTGTTGGTACCATAAACCCCAAAATCAATCCCAACCTTCCTTTTGTGGTATTGAACCTTATGGTAAAATTTCAGAGAGATCCATACACTTAAACACAAGTTATTGTCTGGAAACTAGAAAAATGCTTGTTTTTTGGCCCCTTTTTGGCCCCAAATTCTTAACTGTATAAGGCAATTACCCCCAAACTCAATCCCAGTCTTCCCTTTGTGATATGGAACCTTGTGGTACAATGTCAGAGAGATACATACACTAAAACACAAGTTATGTCTGGAAGTTACAAAAATGCATATTTTTGGCCCCTTTTTGGCCTCTAGTTCCTTAACTGTTGGTACCATAAACCCCAAAATCAATCCCAACCTTCCTTTTGTGGTATTGAACCTTATGGTAAAATTTCAGAGAGATCCATACACTTAAACACAAGTTATTGTCTGGAAACTAGAAAAATGCTTGTTTTTTTGCCCCTTTTTGGCCCCAAATTCCTAACTGTTTAGGGCAATTACCCCCAAACTCAAACCCAGCTTTCCCTTTGTGACATGGAACCTTGTAGTACAATTTCATAAAGATCCAGACACTTACACACAAGTTATTGTCCTGAAACTAGAAAAATGCTTGTTTTTTGGCCCCTTTTTGGCCCCTTATTCCTAAAATTTTGAGGCAATTACTCCCAAAATCAATCCCAGCATTCCCTTTATGATATGGAACCTTGTGGTACAATGTCAGAGAGATCCATACACTAAAACACAAGTTATGTCTGGAAGTTACAAAAATGCATATTTTTGGCCCCTTTTTGGCCTCTAATTCCTTAACTGTTTGTACCATAAACCAAAATCAATCACAACCTTCCTTTTGTGGTATTGAACCTTATGGTAAAATTTCATAGAGATCCATTCACTTAAACTAAAGTTAGAGTGCGAAAACCAATGTGTCTTCGGACGACGACGACGAATACGAAGCCAACGTCATACCAATCTACGACCGCAAAAAAATGCGGTCGTTTGCTGTCGTTTAAAAATGCCTTCATACATCTTAAATTCCATGCTACATACAATTCAAGAAAAATATTCAACAAACAAATAAACTGCTTTGCTGAGCACAGCTGGATACGCCAGCAGAGGTCCAACCCTGAACAGTTTGGGCAAAAATGGACACAATATTCAAGCTTGATACAGGTCTGAATTTGGATTGTAATCAAATATTTGACATATTATAGGTTTCTGAATAAATGAAGTCAAAGAAATTGAAATTGGTTATATAAATTGAATTTATATTCAATTAAAGATTTCTTGCTGTTGTGCAATACACTGTGCTGTTGCGCAATACTTAGTAAATCTGTTGTCAGACTATAAACAAATAAAGTTGAATTAATTCTCAATGTCATATTAGAAATTTATGAAAATGTAAAGGGAGCTTACATCAATAGATATAAACAATTCACCAAAGTTTCATGAGAATTGCCGACAGCATTTTTGAGTTATTGTCCGACAACTGGAAAATGCCCCCTTTTTTAATGAATAAAACCCCATAACTCAGAAATGGTAAACAAAAAATTTATAAAATTCTAAAGGGAGCTTACATCAATAGATATACACAATTGACCAAAGTTTCATAAGAACTGCTGAAAGCATTTTTGATTTTTTGTCTGAAAACTGGAAAATCACCCTTTTTTTATGAATAAAACCCTGTAACTCGGAAGCAAAATTATCATGAATCATAATAATGTTAATATGCCTTACACTAGATTATACTACCGATTTATTAGTTGATTACTGGTACCTGCATCAATTTCAATGTTCAGATGAATACATAAATCAAAAGCATTTACCACTTTTTTAATTCAAATCCTTTCAGTGAACTTCCCAGATTTAAAATTCTTTACGGATACAGGAGATTGATCTGTCAAGTTCAAAATTGTCCTGAGTCTATAGAAAGTTGTGTATGATTTAAACCGATACTATCTAATCTACAGTCAACTCAAAGTTATAAAAACAACAAAACATGTGAAGATATCACATAAGACAACCACTGACAAGTCAGTTTCCTAACTTGCTAGCAGTAACTGTAAGCCAGCGCAAAAGCCTAATCTCCCAATATATTTCCAAGCCGTTGTACACTCTAATATAGGTGGCTGTACCTCACTGTGACATATGATTTAACATCATATCAAAAGAAATCATGACCTTGTTCGATGGACAGAAGAAACCTGTACAGAATTTTCAATACAGAAAAACAAACACAACCATTAAGGTTTATTTAAAATAATTTTTGTGATGATCATTTACTCGCTTGGTCGTGGGTCACGAATCAACAAATTATAGATAATCATCCCAAAACGACGGATGGATTGAACAGCAGAATTTCTTGATAAACTAGGAGATGAACACATGCTACATGTAAAGTGCACCTCGGCACTTGTATTGGTTGTGTTTCGTCCTGGTATTCCTTGGAAGGTCTTCAAATTATTAAATGGTTTTGAACTTTTTTACATTCACGATGAAAATGACAATCGGCGAAGTACTAACATTTACGTTATTCTGAAGTCTTCATGATAAATGAAAACAGTATTTGTTTGAAATTTTTATATATAAACTGACATTATGTATTAACTAACAGACATATATAATAAATATTTCTCTGGAATTAGTGACTCCTTTAAATATTTTAAATTCCCTGCTAGTGAAAACTATAAATTTAAAATAGCGAGAATAAAACTTGAGCATGTTGAGAACCACAACATATAAATTATTTTCTGTGCATGTTGATTGATGCATATTTTATTTTGATTGGTACCAAAGTCAATGAAACTCTGTGCATTAAAGTTCTACACATAGGGGAAAATGTCAACACACAACTATGTTTCAATTTTAGACGTCACGGTTATAAATGAGGGTTTGAACTTTGAAGTCTGAGAATGGGGTTTTCAAATATTTATTTTAATTATTTTCGCCCATAATTTGATTTTCCTTTCTTTTATATTTAAGCACCATTCTAAATCTCTATTCTTTTAAGTTTAAATTAATTTCAGGGCATTTTTCTTTTTTCTATGAACCTCATACAGACCCTCATATACTAGAAATTATTCTCACACAAAATTAAATAATTTACCCGATTCAATGGTAAAGTAATTCGATCAGGGAAGACTCGTAAGTTGGATCATCATCTATTCTACTGATTTTGCTTGCAATGGGGTAGGACTAAATAAATCTGTTGTCGATTTTTTTTTCTCCGACAAATTTAGATAACAGAAAACTACCGTAAAGGGCATTTCCAAGTAGAGGAGGGAAATGTTTCCATAAGTCTTGAATTTTCAAAGGGTATGAATCAATAGCGGCAACAAGACAAAAAAAGTCGGTATATTAGCATTTAGTAGCTAGTCTGCTGCACTAGGCATGTTAGGTGGAAATCGTTTAAAAGAATATAAAGAATTTTTTTTCACGGAGGCAACTGCCTGCCTCAGTTTCCTCAACGTAAGCTACGCCAAAGCTGACAGGGGAACTTATCCTGCAATGATTCTATATTCAGTACCAAATATATATGTAATTGTCCAAAAAAAAATTTGCTGTTTCCAAAATAAAATTTTGTAAAAATTCATGTCATTCATCCTGATATTAAATAAATATATTTTCGTTTTCATATCTAGTATTTACAACAGAAACCGAACAGAGGAAATAACAAAAAACATACTCACCTAACCTGTTTTCATACGTTTAATTACCTAGCATCTTCGTTTAATTTGCATTTAAATCTAAATCTAAATAAGAATTTAAAAAAAAAGAGCGCAAAATAGAGATCATAGGAAGTGGGGAGTGAAATGATGAAATAAGCACAAGTATGCTAACATGCATGTACCTCCTCTTTCAGGCACACTGTTATCTGGTGATGGTTCTTCATTTTCCAAATACTTGTCACAAAGATGTGCATTGTTATAAGCAAGATCGATGAAAAATCATAGGTCTAGTCTTTTGAGATTCAAATGTTTATGCCGAAGAGGTAATTTGTATGACAGGTGCGCGAACACATTTGTAATCATAATCTCTATTACAAATATTTATATTTAAAACGATTAGGATATGGGTTATTATATATGTTTGTATACTGCAGATGAAAATATTTGAATATTATAATTTTACCGAAACACTTTACCTTGTGATTCTCGTAAATCGCTAGTTCGTACAATCTCTTCTTTGAGATTACACAAGAAAAATTATGTAAACATTCTCCATGTGCGGGAAAATTACTATAAAGAGGCCAAGATGAGTAGCGAATAATATTGAAGGTATATGTTGTAAAATCAAATGCATCTGATCAATGAGCATATGTATATCTTTTTTTTCACTGAATCTCTTAAACCGCAGATGAAGGAAACATTGTTAAGGAATGAAAATCTGGGAAAAGGGAGATAATCATTTGGTTCTATTTGTTTTCCAGAGTCCGAGAAAGCATGACAGTCAAAGATATAACTCTATAGGGTTATTACAGAAAATAACTTGCGTGTGTTATTACAGATACTTTCATGAGTTGTCTACTCTTTATTCCTTAAATTTTCTAAATCTGTAATAACATATGTTTGTTATTTGTAAAATTATTTCATTTATAGTGGGCTCTAGGGAACTCTTGAGACTTTGCGCAGAAACTAAATGCATAGCCTTGATAACTAATTTTTTAATTAAATTAATTCATTTTTTATTAACCATGGTAAATCAATGAGACGAGGCTTTTAAGGGATAAACTTAGCTGTGATAACAAGGCTAGGTTATTAAAGGAATGTAACTTATTATATAAGACACTTGGGAAATTATTACTGAGAAACTTGCGCAGAACCTCATTACATGCTCTGGTCACTATTTCTTACAATAAATTAAAATACATTGTAGTTTAGCATGATGTATGTCTGAGCAAATGCTTTGAAGTGATATAGAGAAGCTGTGATAACACCCTTTAGTTATTACAGGCATATTTTTTCTGTAATAACATATAGGTGTACTATGCAAAATTGGCAAACTATGAACTGTTATATCTTTCAATAGTTAAGTATACATATAGACAAAAGTAATATCAATAGAACTTTTATACATTTAAACTAAACTAATGGTGTATATTGTCCCTTTGAAACATGTAACATACATATGTTATCACAGTTCTGTGATTTTTTAGTCCACAATAACAAATGTATGTTATTTTTCTGTAATAACCCTATAGAGTTATATCCCTGACTGCATGAAGGGTTAATTTTCTTTTTTTTGCAGTGCACTTTTTCTCCATTCCTTCCTGAAGCAATAGTACGATAAAAACTCTTGAAATGGTTCAGTTACCTGGTAACAGGTTGGGAACAAACCCTCTTCATGGTGTTTTTACCTGTATAGAGGGATAAACCTTCTATAGAGGGATAAAATTATCCCTCTATAGAGGGGTATTTTTGTTTAGACTGGATTTAAAGCAAAATAGGGCAGATTGGCATTTTCTAGTTATATTGGCTATAATCTATAGCATTGTATGCATCAATAAATGCACTTTATTAAAAATTGGGATGCCAAGTTTTTTGCTAAAGTGACAGAACTTGAAATCTATTGTATAGCTATCCGAACACCTGATCAACAACAAAAGGGACAGTTGACCTTTAAATTTTAAGTTAAATCTAACATTAGCACATACAACTTCTCGTCCAATCAAATTGCTTATATTTGCCTTCTAATTTTCATAGTACATACTTTTCCTGTGTACTAAGTAACTACGCATGAATGACCACAAGGGTAAGATTTCATTGTATCGTAATCAAGATATTTAAAACAAAAATTGCCATTGGCTATTTTGAAATAAAATACTGTGTTCCAAATTAAATTAAATAGTTTGTTATTAGTTTTCACATTGATTTTTAAATATCCTGCTATTAAAATCTTTGGATCTAAAAAATGTTTTTGACAATTGCAAATTTTATCATTTAAATAAAGGGTAATACATATGGTTCTTTATACCTTGATTAGAGTACAACGATATCTTAAAATTATGATAATGTATCATCCATGCAATTACTTTGTACACAGAAAAGTGTGTACTATGAAACCTTGTGAAGGCAAATTAAAGCACCTTGGTGATAATTTTTTAAACTTTCTTAAGGAAAGTGATCTATTTCGTCATGAATTGATTGATTTATTGATTATTGGTTGCTTAATGTCCAGTGGCAAATATTTCATGCATGTTCAGGACGATGTCATGAATTGAAAAACTGTGATTATGTCTGAAGATAATGTGCCACCTATATATTTATATATATAAACATATTCTGATAAATCTTTTTGTTTTTACTTTGAACTAATAAAAAAAAACCACACAAAACCTATAATCTCTGATCTATTTGTAGTTGCTTTTTAATGCCTATTTGCTAGACTATATCTTTGGGGACAAACTATCTACATGTTTCAAATTTATTATAGCTTTAGTTTTACTGTGAAATTAAAAAAAAATGTTTTCAAAACATGTAAAGCTTCCACTGCAATTTAATTATTGCCTGCTTTTGGTCAATTTATTTTGTCATCTTACCTTGTAAGAAGAACATGTATAGTAAAACACCGCTTTATATCAGTATACATACTTACACCAGCAGCTACCATCTTTTCATTCTGGAGTGAAGGGCCTTTTGAAATCACATATTTTACAATGATACTAGTGTGTAGATTAACAAAATTCGTTAATGAGCTCCGTTTTACAAACACGTGTGATACAAGTAGTCAGCCAAAATAAACTATCAATAGACCAATTAAAAGATTACTCGAGTTGTAAGTATGTGCTAAATTGGATAGTCTATGGAAAGGTATATACTATGAAATTAAGAGCTCGGGGCAAGCCCCTCGCTCTAAATTTCATAGTATATACCTTTCCATAGACTAACCTAGACATAGAAATTCTGTTCAGTGAGGCATAACTGAGTAGAATTTACCTGATCATCACAGTTTTCAATTAAGATGAACAATAGGTTGTATATTCAGTCAGTTTAGCAGTAAACTGGGCATGTACAAATTAAATTAAGTACATCAATTGATGCATACAATGCTATAGATTATAGCCAATATAACTAGAAAATGCCAATCTGCCCTATTTTGCTTTAAATCCAGTATAAATAAAAATACCCCTCTATAGAAGGATAATTTTATCCCTCTATACATTGCTATAGAAGGATTATCACTCTATACAGTTAAAAACACCATGTAGAGGGTTTGTTCCCAACCTGTTTAAGGGCATACCATACTGTAGGCTGTAACAAGGTCAGATAATAATGCATTCAGAATAACCTAACTTTATTGCAACATTGCACTGTTGCTATAAAGAGGGTATGATTGGGGTACCCCAAATGACTAATGACGGTAAAATATTTGTTAAAATAATGTCAACGATATACATTTTAGTCCACTTGACGGTAACGGTAGCTATAAAATGAGATTTGACGAATGACGATAAAAAATTAAGGCTCATTTGACGCTAACAGTAGCAAATAACAGATGTTTGACGCTTGACGATAAAGGGCATTCCTACCCTCTATAATAAGCATAAAAAATTCACTTATATCACTTCATCAAATAGGTTACTTGAATTTGAAAGTATTTGCGAAGGTAAAAGAACATGTTGTATATAATTAAACACACAAAATCTACTGTAGGCCGGGTCATATCGTCAGATCATAGATTTTCGTATGTCATATGAATTCGTACTATGCATGCTTTTTCAATGGAAATTGTGACGTCACATGCAATGCATTCTAAATAGTATGAAAACCCATAATACGAGGATAACATTTCAGACAAATTAAGACTTTATTTTTATCATCGATATATTCATATAACAGTTATTAGTATATATGATTTCACAAATTTTTTAATTGTATTCATCTTTGAATTTTAGGAACCTTCTTGCAGGCCTATAAACATGATAAATTGAGGAACACTTTCCAAAATCCTTAGTGAAAATATCTCTTTCCATTTGAAAGTTGTGTTCAATTGCTTTGAAAAAGTATCGAAAGATTAAATTTTGTGTTTTTTTTTTCATGAAACATGCAAATTTCAAACTGAAATATCTGGAAAAAGAAGTCATTAATGAAGGTATATTTTTCTATGCATATTTCGATGGTGCATACTAAAATTGTTATTGTTTCAGAATTTAAAAAAAATCAATGAGAGATCTTTTCTGTAGCATATGCTCTTAAATCACCTATTGTTGTGCAGTTATCTATTGTCCCTCTATTGACCATGTCTATCAATACAGTTCACTGCAATTATGAACAGGGAAGTTCTCAAACATCTTTCCTAACTTACTTTATTTTGGACCCTCTACCATGTCTTCAAAGTGACTAAGTCAATGTAAGGACCTATAAAGACAATACTTACTATGTAGTGTTGAAATGATCGCTTTTAAGAATAAGTTTATTCTGAGGATCAATAAGATACATGTATTGTATCTAAATGTATGGACTCTTTAAACAACATCACAGTAAAAATGAAGATGTGATATATTCCCTGTTTGTAATAAGGTTTCTACGGGTACAGCCAAACTTTCAAACCAAATCTTTTTATCTATGAAAGAATTTATTAAAGGTTTTAAATACTTCGTGATAAAAAAAATCCCTGCCTTAACGAATTACCAATTAAGTTATTAACATTGATAATACAGGGTTTAAGCTAGGATTTTGAGGGCTTTTGTCACTTTTGCGCGAAATGAAAATCAACCTTATTTTGTGTAACAGCAAGGGACCAAGGATGTACATGTATACTGTAAATTCAGAAATTATTGCGGGCATTTATTATTGCGATTTTTTAAAAATTAATAAAAATACGAGTTTAACTATTGCGAAATTTGGAAAAGCTATATACATGATATACAGTTAATACATTGTATATCTGATATCAGAATGCAAGTTTTTGTCGAGCCTGCGAGCTCGACTAAGGGATAGTGATCCGGCGGCGGCGGCATTAGCTAACTTCTTAAAAGCTTTATATTTTAGAAGGTGGAAGATCTGGATGCTTCATACTTTGTATATGGATCATGCCTCATGTTACGAAGTTTCCGTCAGTCACATGTCCAATGTCCTTGACCTCATTTTCATGGTTCAGTGACTACTTGAAGAAAAGGTAAGATTTTTTGTAATGTTAAATTCTCTCTTATTATAAGTAATAGAATAACTATATTTGGTATGTGTGTTTTGGTCTGTTTTTCTTAAACTATAAGCAATAGGTCAACTATATTTGTTGTATGGAAGAATTGTTAGGTGTACATGCCTGCCTAGCATGG